TAGTGTTTACATGACTCATCATAATCATCATTGAACCGCTGTTTCAATTTTATCTTTTCCTCCGCTCGCCTTTCATGAGCTGCAGCTTCGGCTCGTTCAAGAGCAGAAAGTTTCTTGTCATCACCTAATTGTTAAGTTGTAATAATTAGAAAACACCCTGAAAACCACTTTTCACAGATCACCAGCAAAGGACTTACCATCTTTTGCTTCCTCTTCCTCCTTGACATCAGCATCATCCTCCATTTCTTCATCCATATGATCTGAAATCAAACTAGTTTTTAAATTTTGGCATATACAAGTGGAAGCCAGCTCAACAGGTAGACCTTCAACTACGTCATCACTTCAAGAATAAATCTGATACGTACCTCTCAACTCCTTTTCCTCTTCATCATCTTCTGTCCAATTTCCAGTAACGAAGCAATCCGCTATAGACAATCTCGTTTCTTCGTTAGTCCAATCCGGAGCAGCATAAGAAGTTGAGGCACATTGATGCCACAAAAGACCATCCTCCTGAATTTTCAAATTTTCCGTAAAGATAACATTTTGGACTGAAAGAGAATTAAAGGAAACCTGCTGCCACAATGGCTTCGTCGCTGCTTTTCGCACTTTGAATAAACCGTCAGCAATATCTTCTTCCTTCACTACCGGAGCTTCATCTTCTAAGATGTTAAAAGAGCATTAATTGAAGAATATTCAAAGGTTACAAAAAAGTATTCAAAATAATATTTTTGGGACACTAGAGTGGATATAGACAAAAGCTAGTCAAGACTGCTGGGAGTGGAAAGTACAATGCTAAAAACCTTCTCCATATATGATCTTCATCCAGTTTAGTCTCACTTGCTCGTTTGGATGAAATTGTTCGAGAGCTTTACGGGCCAGACCGCCCCAATCGTTGGATGACCGGACACTGCGATGACCAAAATGATCTTCGCCAGACTGGTCATCCTCTTCCATCTTCTAAGATAAAAAAATTGAATCAAAATTGACTCGCAATCGTAGCGCCTCAACTCACTTCATCTTCATCGTCATCGTCAGATTCAAACAGGTGTTCTTCATCTTCGCCTTCTTCATGCTCATCCTCTAAACTATGCTCCGACCCAGAGGCTAGTTCTTCATCCGACTCTTCCATTTCTTCTCCAGACGCCACCTCAGATCCCTCGCTGTCTTCCTTAGTTCAGAGATATGTTAGAACTTGTGTTTATTAACGGATAAGCTGATTTTGCGATAGCATCATAAGTATTATGTCATATAAGATCACCTCATCGTTCTCCTCTATAGGCACGGAGTCTCCCAACAACTTCAATTTGGCTCCACTTAATTTTCCATCAATAGT